AAAAAAATGATGAACCCATCTTTTTATTGCCATGAAAATATGTTTAGTACTTACTATCAAGTGAGAAGCAAACCTGTAAAAAATAACTTGTCCATTGTGCACATAAATACTTATGTTTATAGATGAATAGTAGAAAATATAGAGAAATAATCTATATAACAGCAATTACCTCTGAATGGTTAAAATACACATGATTTTCTTTTTCCCTTTCCATTTGCCTATATTTTTAAATTTTTTTCTAAAGTAAATAGGATTCGCCTATGTAGAACATATAAGTTATCAAAATAAACTTACCCAATATTCGCTCTAATTCTTCACATCGTTTCACCTCACCAACAAATTTTCTTTGGAAAGTACTTACATTCTGGTTAAGCTAGAAATAAAAGAAAGAAAATTTTGGCTTTTTTTTCCCTAAAATTTAAAAATAAATTTGATTTAAAAAAAGATTTATTTATTCATGCATACAGGACTGGGGTACAGGCCAGAGGTGCAGGGGCAGTGAAAGGCTTCACCAGAGACAGAGTGGAGAAGTGAACAGGCAGATCAATGAAGTACACTGCTGAGGGGAGCATCCGCTGCACCGTGTGAGTCACCTCCGGGGCCAGGGATCCAACTCTGAGCTGATGCTGCTGTGGCCAGCTTCACAGCGCTGTACTTTTAACCCACTGCGCCACAAGGGAAGACCCTGTTTTTTTTTTTTTTAAATAAACTAAGCACTATCAACAAGAGTTTGGTGAAACCCCACCCCCACCTACTACTGAACAGGAATATGGACCAACATAACTTTTTAGCAATGTTAAGAGAAAAGCCAAAAAGTACTCTTTGTTGAGAATTTTTTTAAAAAGATTTATTTGTGCATAAAGAATTGGGATACAAGCCAGAGGTGCAGGGGCAGTGAGAGGCTTCACCAGAGACAGTGGGGAGCAGAACAGGCAGATCTATGAAGTAATTGCTGAGGAGAACAGAGGGCGAGACAGGAGAGGTCTGCCAAGCCATGTGGATCAGCTCTGGGGTGGGGGATTGAACTCGCACTGCCGCAGCTATGGCTAGCTTGCAGTGCTGTGTCCTAAAGCATTGTACCACCAGGGAGGGCCCCCACAAGGGATTTTAACCTAAGAAAAAACTATGGATTCAGACACAGAATGGTCTAGAAAAATGTCAACTTCAGAGAGGTTAAAAAATGATTAACAATAGAGAATTGATTAAAAAGCTGCAGTATCTATGACATGGAATACCACTTAACAATGAAAAGGAACGAACTTCTGATACAACATGAATGTTTCTCAGAAACATGGTGCTAAGTGAGAAAAGCCAGAACAAAAGCCACCAGTGGATCTATTTAGGGTTCTATTTCTATGAAATGTCCAGGAAAGGCAAATCAAAAGGCAGAAAGTGGACTCACAATTATTGGGAGCAGGAGGGATCTTATCTAAGCAACATGACAGAACTTCAGTGTGGTCCTAGAAGCCCAACTAGGCAAATTTTCTAAACATTAGTGAACCGTCCCCTTGAGATGGGTGGATTTTATGACACGTACCATAAAGCTGTGTAGAAAGTATGGTTCCTATAACCAAATACGAAACATATACTAAAAAAAAAAAAAGTGCTTCAAAATGAGTAGCTGTCTGGTTGCATTAGGAGGCCAGCATCAAAATTCTTAGGCCTTATAACAGTACTGCGGTTAGATTTCTAAGGGTTGCTACCTTTTAGCGATACTTAACTGAAATATTTATAAGTGAAATCATACATTGGCTTTGCTTCAGTATGACTGTCGAGGAGGGGAGAAGGGGCATGGGGGGATGAAAACATCAGCCATGAGCATACCTTACAAGAACACCAGACTTCACCCTTCTCATACACTCTGCCCTGTACTTAACTTCTAGAAGATAAAAGCTTGAAACACTTAAAGAGTAAGAGAAATCAGTCATGGCCTGTATTTAAACACAAAGGTCTTTTCAACATGGTTCCAATTATATAAAAATGCATCTACATGTACATCTTAAAATGAGAAAAATGTTGACCCAACACCAACCAGGAAAATATCTATTCCTGGGCCTTGGCACAATAATGCCATTAGCTCACTCTGATGTTTTCTGAATTTCCTACAACAAGCATATATAACTTTTACAATTTAAAAATTTTGGTATCCTTCATACTGAAAGACCTTTCAAGTAAGAACTTCATCTTTACTCCACCCAGTGTTTGGACAGGGCACCCAAAAAACACAACTAGACAACAGCTCAGCCTTAAACTCCGCTATGCCCTGAGAGGTATCTCCAGGCTCAGCTCTTGTTCATTTTTTTTTTCCCATTATTTGCTTAAAAGCACTAACCATAAGACAGACAAAAATTGGAATTTCACTTTTGCTTGTAATACTCTCATTCATTTCTGGAAGCGTACTAACTGAAACTAACCACCTGCAGTTCCTAATTCAGACACGATTTACTTCTACAAAAGCAAGAAGGTAAAAAGGCCACAAGGCTTCAAAAGCTGCCTACAAATGCTGCTCAGTCCTGTCTTCTCAGTCAGTATAGCCTGAGTGAGCTCTACCACTGGACATACAGCTCTACGTTGGAAGAGGCACATCCTATAATCATGATTGGACTTGGCACCTAAAGCAGCCACCACCATTATTCTCAGTTTTGTTTCTGTTTTCTTTTTAGAGAAGCAACGACACCTAATTCAAGGCTACCAGTGACAGGATATGCAGCACATTTTACCAGCGTTTCATTTTAAGACTAACACTTAACCTAGAAAACCCGGCTGAGGATCTCTGGTGCTGTTTAACAGATATTCGCACCTGGCATCTTCTACTGCAATATCTCTGGCCTCCGGGTGAAGCCTGGTCTTAGCCACAGGCTGCTCCAAAAGGTGGCTGGAATTCCCCTCCCTGGAGTCCAGCACCTGACCTGAACAGCCTCTGCTTTCTGGACTTCTTGGCAGCCGCTCCAGAGACCTGGACCTTCCTCCTCCCCTCCTCAGATCACAAAAAAGTGTTCTAAGCCCCCATGCCAGCCAAATCTTCTGTCAGTGACCCCCCCCCCCATCCAATGAACACAAAGCCAGCAAGAAACTCCAAGGAGCAAGGATGGGTCAGCTGTGAAGCCACTTTCAGCGGCCGCACCTTCAAAACTGCCCATGGACCGGAAGCCAGGAAGCCACACACTGGGCTGACCTCTGAAAACCTAGCACCTCACAAGGAAGAGTTCATTTTGGCACCTCAGTTTCATTTTTCTTCAGAAAAATATGAACTCTTTTTTTCTACTCGCGCTGACGTTCAGCTAAAAAGGATCCCAAGTTTACTCCGCCACCTACTCTACAGGCACAGCGAACTCGCATATCCTTGGGGATGCAAGCATCTGTTCCAACCTGTGAGATCTAAGTTTGATAAGTCTCTTGGCTTGAGTCCTAACAGGAAGAACAAATCTACTGTTACTAAGCAGGGCCCTGGCTCTGTCACCAGTCTCCTGAAATCTTTTGGGAGATACTCGCAGCTCAGCACAAGGCCTGCCAGGTAAGTGTGAGCCATAAACAGAAGCCAAAGCAGCTCCAGGAACCAGGAAGAAGCTGGGCCTCCCTGCCTGTCACTCAGGACTGCTCCCTGACCTTGCGGTTGTCTTATGGGTCCTACATCTCAGGTAGGGGTATTCCTGGTTGAAATGAAGGCCACCTCAGGAAGATGAAGGGGAACAACCACTTGGAAATAAAACATTCACCCTTTGCTCTACCAGCCAATAGGAGGGCCTGCCTCTCCACCTCCCTTCCGCACCTTCATAGCAATTATCACAGTTCATTATCAGAGCATGTTTTCTTCTCCTCCCAGACTGCACAAGAAGGCAGGCACCCTGCCTGCTCTGCTCACCAATCAGTTTTTGATGTTCCAGCACTAAAAACAGGGTCTCGAACAGAGACAGCTCTCCGTGAAGGTTTGCTGCTTCCTTCCACAAATGCCTCTACCTGCCAACAAAAGCCAGGCTGTGCGGTATGGAGAATCAGAAGGGAACACACAAGGCCAGGCCCTTATCCTTAGGGCTGACAGTCACATAAGCAAGTGTTTACCACTAATAATTAGGGAGACAGCTTCCACTCAACAAACAGGGCGGGCCTTCCAGTTCTTTACTAGGCACCCAAGACATCGCAAAGAAACTCCTGCCTTGAAGGAGCTTACACCAAGCTCTCCCCAGTGTTGTCCTGGGATGTCCCGACCCCTCCACCTGGAATCCTGCTCCCCCGACCTTCCCGTGGCCTGCTCCTTCCCCTCCGTCTGAGCCCAAAGGTCACCTCCTCGGAGAGTCCTCCCTGACCACCTCAGGCCGAGTCACCATCACACTGCCCGCCTTATTTTCTGCACCGCAAACTATTCTCGTTCGCGTATTTATTTCTCTTCCTCTCAGTCCTCCACCATCCCTGAAGTTGCAGGAGGGCTCCCTGGGGCCCCCTCGGACTTGCTGGGCCGCCAAGCCCGGTGCCTGGCAAGAATCGGGGTTGCGGGACGGCGGGTGGCCACGCGCTCTGGCAGAGGTGAGACGCCGGCGCTGCTCCCCGGGCCCGGGGGGGGGGGTGAGGGGGGGGTGAGGGGAGGGATGCGGGCCCCGACCCTGGCGCGTCACCCCGGCGACACTCACGTCTCGGAACTGGACCAGGCCCTTCTCGCCCAGGGCGCTGAGGCACTCGTAGGCCGTGCCAGACTGCAGGAAGAGCTGCGCCAGGCACATGGGCTCGCTCCGGAACAGGGACCCCATGGCGGCACCGCCCCGCGCCCCGGCCGCGCCCGAGGGACAGCAGCGGATTCCGGACCGCGCGGGTCC